GCCATCGCTGAGTTGGCCAGACCACACGTCCTTTCTCCCTGCTGCCTGGAGGGGGCGCTGCACGCTGGGCTCTGGGCTCTTTCTGCAGGAGTTGAATCAGAGGAGGGCTCGCAGGGGGGCAGGGCTGGGGGGAGAGGAAAGGTCCAGTAGCCTTTTGATCCAAAGGATCTTGTTTCTGCACCTTCCCCCCTGTCACGCAGGCACATGCCCGCTCCCCCCAACCCAAACTTTGCCAAGCTCAGTTCCACTTGCCACTCCAGCTGGGGAGGGGTCTTATTTATTGTCCTGTTTTCTGTCTGTATCTTTTTTGCGTGAGCTGGACAGCCAGAGTGGTGGGCGCTGTCCATCCTGGCCCTCCTGTTGACTGGGCCAGAACCCAAGTGCCAAGTTCTTGACGTAATGCCTTAATAAACCACGCCATGTAACCAGACCCCTCTCGTCTGCTTTGGCCGGGGCAGGGAGGCGACCCATCCGGGCCGTCATGTCCTAGGGTGCCAGACATGCCCACTTGCACGGGGGAGGGTGCCGGGTGGCAGAAGGGCATCCTTGGTGATGCTGCTGCCGCGGGCCCCCCACCAGTGTCATTTGCCCCATGGTCCTCAGCAGCAGCAGCTTAGGAAGCAAACTTGGGGGGGGCAGCGAGCCATCTCCAGCACTTCTGCTTCCTAAGGCCCCCTCGCCATGCTAAGAGTTTAAAAGAAAGATAAAAACAATGAGTCGAGAGTTGAATGTTTTTGGTCAAGCAAGAGCTTGCATCGGAGCCCCTCTCACATGGATCATGGAGCACCCACCGCCTCTCCTCCCTTCCCTGCACCAAAGGTATCTGTCCCCTCCTGGCAGGCCCCAGGGGTGGGGGGCATCTCCACTTAGATGCTCCCTTCCCGTGCGACTGGCGGCTGGGAGTTGAACAGGCAGCTAAGCGGAAGGAAGACGTTGGGCTGACCAAGAGGGGAACAAAGCTTCTGGGCGGGGGTGGGGGGAGTCCAGAGTGACATTAAACCCCCTCCCATTGCAACTTTGCTACCTGGGTGTGCACAGAAACATTTGCATAGAGGGCATTGACATCATCCAGAGAGGATTCCCCAGTCTGGCAGAAGGAGGAGCCATTTCTCCCTCCAGCTCCCACCTCGCCTCTCATATTTGGGGGCCAGCCTCCCCACCCTGCCTAGTGTGGCTGTGTGGAGCAGGTTATGCCATTTCAGAAGCTCAGCAGGCACTCTTCCCTGTCCCCACCCCACCATGCTTAGTTGAAAGGTCTGGGAGTGCAGGGATGGCATACAAGGGAAAGCTAGATCTTGCCCGTCTTCTAGTCGCCCAGGTCTTGCCACCCCACTTGAACCCTTGTCTTGTAGTGGTGAAGGGGCTTGCCTGGGACTCCCCAGGCCCGGAAGAGTCACTCGTGATGGGCAGCTCAGAGACACACGGTCAGGCTGCATTTGCTCCATGCCTCCAGCCTGCTTTGCGACCCTGCCAAGGAAACCAAAGGGAGATTCACAAGCAGGGCACCGTTGGCGTCATGCTGGAAGGGGAGCCCTTCAGAGAGGGTGCTGTCCACCGAGCTCCTGGGGAAGAACAGAGGGCAGCTGCCAGGAGCACTGGGGCTAAGGAGCCATCTGGATGAAAGCTAGAAGGACCTCCAGGTGGGCCTGGAGGCAAAAAGAAAATTCGATGCTGCAAAGACATGTCTACTGCTGGTGCCTGGGCTGTAAGAACTGTGAATCGAGGCACCCTGGTGCTGTAAGAGCAGAAATGTTGGGATTTTCCGGAAATCGATGAACTGAAATGGGCTGGAATGGCTCCTCTTCACACCAGAGGAGCTTCAAACCTTCTACTATTGACAAAAAAATCAGAAGAAAAGTAGCCATCATTATGAACAAAAGAATGGCAAAATCACTGACTGGATGCAGCCTAAAAAATACCAAAGATAATCTGAATTCCAGTCCAAAGCAAACTAACCCAGATCGGTGCTCCAACCACGGACGCAGAGGAAGCAGAAGTCAACTTGTTCTGTGACAATCTGCAACTCCTTGTTAACCCAACATAAAAAAAAAAGACATCACCCCGGAAGACTAGAAAACTAAAGCATCTTGAATAACAGGAACTTTTGGCCACAGAGTATAAAATGAAGGAAACAAGATCTGGTGCCAGCTATGCTTGATGGCACATAATCACAGCCCAAATTAAATTAAAAAGAAAATAATTCATTAGACAAATGTAACCTCAGCAATATTCCATATGATCATATGGGGAGTGAATTAGGGCTGATAAAGAGGGGGCTTGGAGAACCTGCATCTTCCCAGAGAAGTCTGAATCAGGGTGTCCTGGGCCAGCAGGGCCGGCTCTAAGCCAAGGCCAAGTAGGAACCGGCCTAGGGGTGCCAAACTCTAGGAGGTGCCAAAATTTAAAAGACTTCCGAAAACACAGTAAAAAAGCAAAAAACAGTAACGATGCACTCTGTGAGCCAGCGTGCCCACTTGAGGGTTAAATATAATTCTGCAGAATTGTTGCCATATGACCACACTGAGTGCTGATATTACAATTACTTACTGTAAAAATAGGGTGAAAATGTCCAAGAAAAGGGAAAAAAATGTCCAGGGCTGAAAATATAAGTGTGAAGCTCAAAATCTCAAAGAAAAAAGAAACAAGAGGGCGCCTTTTTTGAAATTCCTAACAAAATCGGAAGATGAACCAAACCACAGGGGGCATGGGAATATGTCTTTGCCCAGGGCGCCAAAATGCCTAGAGCTGGTCCTGCTGACCACTACCTCTGCTGTAGACTGTTGCAATGTGCCATCAATGGGCTACCCTTGAAGACCACCTGAAAGCTTTAGCTGGTCCAGCTTGGGCAGTTACAGGTGCCAATCAGGGTAGTCGTGCAACACCACTGTTTTGAGGGCTGCACTGGTTACCAGTTTGCTTCAGAGTGCAATTGGGCTAGAGCCACTGTTCGAACCTACCTCATGGCGGTAAGGGTGGCGAAATGTCATTATTTCTCCGCCCTTATTGGATCTGCAAGTGGCCGTCCAGTGGCCCTGTTTTGGGTGACCCAACCCTCCTTGGAGGGAGTAATTCTGGAGTTCATCCATAGGGTCGCAGCGAGGAATAAGCTGAGCATCTGACAGATGAAGTCACTTGGAGATTGTGTGGTTATCTGGGAGGAGTTTGATCCTGTTGGGCCTGAGGAAGTGGACAGGGTTCTGACAGTGGTTAGTTCATCCATGAGCCTCCTGGTTGCACAAGGCTGCCCAGGAGGGGATGTATGATTGGGTCCAGGCAGTGGTCAAGTCACCCTTGAGGGAGGGGGTGGTTACGCCAGCTGTTAAGGAGGTGGTGATGTGCCCCCTTCTCGAGGGGCAATCGCTTGACCCAACCAATCTGGACAGTTTTTGTCCAGTCTCCAAGATTGGAGAAGGTGGTTGCACGGCAGATTCAAAGGATTCTGGATGAAGTGGATTATCTGGACCTCTTTCAGTCAGGATTCAGGCCAGGGTGCAAGACTGAGATGGCATTGATCATGCTCTTGGATGACCTCTGGTGGGAGCAGGATGGGGGCAGTGCATCCATCCTTGCTCTTTTTGACCTCCAGGCAGCTTTCGATACCATCAATCATGGTATCCTTGTGGACCGGCTTTGGGAGTTGGGGGTGGGCAGTGCTGTGCTGTGCTGGTTCTGCTCCTTCCTCTGGGGCAGATTCCAGCTGGTGTTGATAGGAGGGGAGAGGTCCAACCCCTGGCCCCAACTTCGTGCGGGGCCACAGAGCTCGGTCCTTTCTCCTTCCTGTGTAACATCTGCATGAGGACCCTGGGTGAGGCGATCTGATGATTTGGGGTGAGGTATCAGCCAGAATGCTGATGATACCTAGCTTTACCTCTCCACCTCAGGCCACCTGAGTGTGCTGTGGCTATCCCAGTCTCTGGAGGCTGTGGGGGCTTGGGTGGGATGCAACAGGCTTCTGATGCTGAGGATTTTCCACCTTTGGTATTGGATGGGGTGGCACTGCCTCAGACAGACCCGGTGTGCCATCTGAAGGTCCTCTTAGACTCACATCTCCTGCTGGAAGAGCAGGTGGCAGCTGTGGCTAGGGGGGCCTTTGAACACCTCTCGGTTGTGCGCCAGTTGCACCCATTCCTGGACCGGGAGGCTCTCATCGCAGTCACTCATGCCTTTCTGACCTTCCATCTGGGTTACTGCAATGCGGTCTACATGGGGCTGCCCTTGAAGAGCATTCAGAAGCTTCAGCTGGCACAGAATGTGGCAGCGTGGATAGTAAATGGTGTCAGTTCCTCGACACACGTAACACCGCTACTCCAGGAGCTGCACTGATTGCCACTGTGCTTCCAGGTGCAAATTAAGGTGCTGGTCGCTGCCTTTAAAGCCCTTCATGGCTTGGGACCAGGTTGCCTGAGAGACTGTCTTTTCCCAGTTGCTCCGGGTCCCGTCAGCCAGGGAATGCTGGCTGGTGGGGCCAGGAGGTGTGCCTTTTCTGCCACGGCACCCACCCAATGGAACATCCTCCCTCCAGGACCACAGGAGAAGGCCTTCTCAGTCACTGTCCCTCTTCCTGTGGAATTGCGTTTCCTCTGAGATCAGATTAACCCAATGCTGCTGTTGAGTGCTGACATGCAAGGGATAAAGGAAAAAAGCAGGAGTCATCTACAGCATACAGTGTAAGGACTGTCACAGCCACTATGTAGGACAGGCAGGCAGAAGACTAGCAGAACGCATCCACGAGCCGCAACCAGCAGTCAGAAGACAGGATGAAAACTCCTTAATCTCACAACACATGGACAGACTCGACCATAGTTTCAACTGGGAAACTGTCAGCATCT